TCGCAAAAAGGCAAATACCCCCATTTTGTGAATTTCAGGCTTATTTACCAAAATATTCGCCAAAATCGTCGAAAACTTTGTAAGCAACGACCCCTCTCTTTCGATCTGGACCTCTTCGACTTCCAGAAATACAAACCTTTTCGATCTTTTCACTTTCGTCGACTCCCTACCGAAATCGCAATACAACTTCTAGATCAGCCAGGCAGACTAATTCCTACCCCACTTGAGTAGCTCTTGACGGGGTTTCGAAGGGAATCACTTATAGGAGCTCGCAGGACCCGGCAGTTTGCCTGACCCAACGCACTGACCTGCCTCAGGTCGCTCCGAGTATTTATAGCTCTATTTTGTTTCACAAGAATGCTGGGTTATGAACAAAACTTTCGCCCCAGGCAGTACTAGAACCCTACCTCTCGCTTTAATACAGCCAAAAACAGCAGTTAACAAACACAAAAACAAGCTCTATTTTGTCTTATTTTTCGTTTGTTAACTGCTGTTTTAACGCCGCAGTTCGCGTTGCGAATGTTTCACAAGAATGCTGGGTTGTGAACAAAACTTTCGCCCCAGGCGGGACTAGAACCCGCACCTCTCGCTTTCCGGGCAAGTGCGCTACATGTTAAGTGATGTGTTGTCTTTTTTGTGAAATAACAATTCGACTGGACCCTTATAATCATCTCGCAAGCGCAGTTGATCGGCTGCCCGATTGTGCAGGACAGAACGTAGTTTCGAGAAATCTGTGCAACGAACCTCAGTATTATTTTCTTTGTTTCCTTCTTTTCTTTTCTTGCGTCCATTAGCTTTTGGCAAATTCACCGCAAACTTTCAGACAAAGTCCTGAACTTTCAACGCCGACTCCGGAAGGAGGCAGCGCGGTTACTAGTCCTTCTCATCGTCCAGATGCGTTTGAAGATGACTTTCAAATGCGAGGTACAAGATATCTTATATACTTTATTATACAATTATTTGCTCGCTTTTATTAGAAATTTTATTTTATACTTATTCATCTCGAGATACGCTCAAACCACTTATGGGCGAACAATTTCAGGGAATGGATATGGAAACTCCCACACCACTCTATGACGAGGATGATTCAGAACCGCTTACGGAATTCACACCGAAATTCACGGGAGAAGGTTGGGATCTGATGGTTAGGTATGAAAATTATTTCATTTTTCTCAATGCACAGATGATGTTTTGTGTGTGCTCAACTCGTCAGTTCAGGCATCCTATAAAGAAGAAGTCGTTCATGGCTGAACGTTTCTGGAAGCCTTGCTACGTTCGCCTCCAGGGCAATACTCTCCTCGTCTACAATGCCAAAACAGACAAAAAACCAATCCAGGTGAGCTGCCGAGTGAGCTACTTAAAACCGTTTTGTTGTGGCGATGTCTCAGCAATGGTCTGCCTTATGTTCGAGCTACCGGCCCACACATAATTGGTTCCAATTCAGACCTCATAGGAAGGTGTTGGTGGTGTATGTCTAATCTAATAGTACCCGCTTGTGGTTAGTTGAAGAGGAGTTTACTATGGGAAGGCAGCTCATTATAAATCAAGGTAGAGGTGGTCAGTGGATGAAGAAAAACCATGAGAAACGGCCCAGAACCCGAGAAATGGGACCCTTCCTTGCCCGTTGATTTCCGCATTGATGCGACTCTCATCGGCTCGCCCTCTTCAACGCTAATGCTCTCTGTTCTTGAACGGCTAGAGTGCGGCGAGTAGGTAGGCAGTCGGTGGGCATGGCGATAGCAGCGCGGAAACGACCATGCTAGATTGCCGGGGTGCATCCTTCGCTGCGAATTGCGTGTCGGTCTACACCCTTAGGGGGTCCGCCTGTCTTTCCACTAGGTAAGTTTCCCCTTCTTCGACCTTCGACCTTATCGTGGAACCTCTTTAATAACATGATTAAAGTAAACTGCTCTCCGAAAAAGGCGGAACTCAGTCCGGCAATGTTCGGCTGAGCCACTCACTCGGGTTGAATGGTTCTACAGCAGTATCCACTTTCGATTCTCGATGAGATTTCACGATATTCTTTCGGGTATGGGTGTCAGAACAGTTCAGCTTGCTCGAGATTGTGAATAATAGTTGTTCGGCTGGCTTGTCGGTGTTGCCGCCTTCTTGAGAGCACGCAAGGACAGAAGACGTTTTGAAGGCACGAGCCGGATCAAGTAGATGCGTTATTCTGTTTGAAAATTAGGCGAAGAGTGCAATTAATGGAGAAACCACAGAAAACTTAATAAGGACGGCAGCTCACAATGCAAGGCCTTAGCGCAGTTGCCTCGCACCTGCCCTTGAGCACCCTCTTCCTCACTCTGAAAGGGACCAGCTCTTGGAACCTAACCCCAAATCGTGGTTTCAAGGCTACCCGTCCAAACACTATTTCAACTTTCGAAACTCATTCAGAGGGATCGTAGGCTACCAAGGCAATGTCATAGGTCGAGCTTACCATTCATTCCAGGGTCGGTTAAATGGTGCCTGACTTTTCCGAAAAAATAACCGATAGCCCCATGCTAGTGCAACCAGTCTAGATGTTAAAAGAGCTTTGTGGTGTCTCGAGTCGCGTGCTTGCATCCAACACCGATGAACGCGCAGATTGTTTACAGACGAGCTTGCGAGTTCCACGTCATGTGGATTTATTATATGTTCACATTATAGAGCTTCTATGTTACCCGTAGTGTGGAGGATATTAATTGTGCTTTTTTAAGGAACTATCTACTCAAGGCCAGCTATTCAGCTTCTCGCGATACAACGACTCAAGCAATAGATGTCTACGCAAGATCTCTCACAAAGTTAAACTGCAATATGTTTTGTACAAGGAGAAAGTTGGCATTCGGCCAGGTTTGTTACTTTTTGCCATAAGATAAAAGAAAGATATTAATGTGAAATTCTCTTCAATTCGTCGAATGAAGTAAATGTTCTGACTTTCGAAATCCCTGTCGAGAGCTTTAGCCTAACATTGCTCTCCCAGTTCAATATGAACACCCAGAAAACCAAGTCCGGCAGGGACAAACGTCGAACGACTTTCGCCAAGCCCTTAAAATTTCTTTTTTGACTTTTAAAGGTCAGAGAGTAAGGGTAGTAAGGTCGGCTAGAATCTGTCACGTAACAGGTTGCCAGTAGGAGGGGCTGTCCGATTTCAAATTTACTTCAAAACGTCAGATCAACCTGCCCACGAATCGATTCGTTGTATACCACAACTTGATGAACAGCACCTCCGTTCGTGAACAGCTGACCCGTAAGAATACCAGAGTTACTCGACCTCAACGCTGACCAGTTTAATTGTATTTCCAACCCGTCATTACTCAAAATTGGACCAGTGAAACTTAAACCCATCCGCCTACTATATGAGAGAATGTTAAGAGGTGTTTTAGGGCAGATTACTCGTCTTGTGGACGGTCATATCACTAAGTACGGACTACCGCTAGAGCACACCGCCCAATGTACGGTACCTGCTCAAGTTCGGTTCACTCACGTACGGTGAACTGCAGTCATTTGTGGCCACTATCGAGGACGTGCTATTCACTAATGTCCTCGAAACGAGACAGCCACAACCTGTCTACAAGCAAGACGAAGTTCCGTGTAAAATTTGCCCTAGTCGTCAGGTGGGATATGCAGAGTATGAGATGACTTGCAGATTCATTGCTACGACGAGTATTCCGCCTATGTCGACAAAGAAGGGGTGCTTTCGGATCAGAAAGCCAGGGTGCGGCTGTTCTGCCTCGCTTTTGTAAGCGGCTCTCCGTTCTTGGAAATTGGATTGAACGATAGGAGAAGGCAAGGAAAGGTGAGCTCATTAGGAGAGTATCCATCTGAAAACGTGCTACCAAATCTCTTTAGGAAATTGTGCGGCGAAAAGACATCCTACCGATGTACACGGAACGATGGATTCGATTTGAAGATGTGGAATTCCACTCTACAGTAGATAAAGCAGCTTTTGAAAGTGAACAAGGTGATCCGACTCAGTCCACCTGATGGATGCTTCTTCGAGGTAGGACTAAAATCTTTAATCCCCTTGTTTTTAGATCTGAAAGCTCAGTTTTGAAAGTACTGACGTCATTTTCAGGTCATGCGATTCCGCATTCGTCCACCAAGGAATAGGGAGAAAGCCCTGACCATCAAGTCTGTAATGAAGATTGCAGGATCAAAAGTAAGCTGCCGTGAAATTGTTTTTCCTCTATGGAACGTTCGAAATTTGTTTTTGTTGTTTTTGTTTATCACATGCTCCATGGTTTCAAAAATACCGACCTAAACTTCCTCTACAAAAAGTTGTGTTATTCTACATGAAAAACATGTGGGCGAGGTTATCTGGTGAAAGGTGCCGTTTGGAATGAAGCAGGAAGGATGCCCAGTTCGGCAAACTCAAATTGGGGCATGCTTGGAACGGTCAGAGCAAAATTCACGTCGTGAATTTATTTCGAAACCCATGAGCGTTTTCCCTAGTGGAGAGCCTTTGTTGCAAAACTGCTGGCTAGAGGCAACCCTGCGCCGAACGTATGGGCCGGGTCATTTGAATAAGGATTCATCGCGTTGGTGGGTACCCCTTTCACGGATGGCAAGGAAGAGTTAGAAAGGAAGTGGGCTCGGCGCTTGGGTATTTTATGGTCGCAGTGAAATATTCTTGGCGTTAGCGCTATTTGGGAGCAAGTCTGGAAGCTCCAACCTAAAACGCGAAAATTTGATCGTCACGGGGTTGAATCTTGGCTCATTTCTTAGCCACTTTCTAGCTCAGGGGTCAGCAAAAGTGAACCTTAATTTTCTAGCCTGCGAGTTCCTCCAACGAACATGAAACCTTCTGAAAATCGCTCTGCGCTCCTAACAACCTACCATATTAGTGGCTTGGCGCTTCAGAGAATGTGTTTTTGAAATTATTACCGTTTTTATTGGATAACTGCTGTTTTACGCCGCAGTTCGCGTTGCGAAAGTTATCACAAGAATGCTGAGTTGTGGGCAAAACTTTCGCCCCAGCCGGGATTCGTACCCGGATCTCTTGCTTTCCGGGCAATTGTGCTACCAGCCACACCACCGGGCACCAATTGAGCTACATGTTATACCACCGAGGCACCATTCTACCCCAACAAAGCTTCGATGGTGATAGCCATAGCTTATCAGCAGTCACATATATAATGTGATGAGCCGGTTAGCCGATCTCGGCAGTAAACTGCAAGGCTGAA